TAATTATTTGTGTAGTACTTAAATTTTCAAAATAAGATATAATTCTTAACTTATTATATTTTTTATTTAATTATAATTTTTTTTGATAATTTTTACTGTAGATAGGCTAGAATGTGGAATAGAAATCAAATTATTTAGAATTTTTTCAGCTTTACAAATTTTTACACATCCTCAGCAATGTAGCGAAAAATCAGTTTTTCTTCGGGTGATGAGCAAGTTGTCCTCCTTATCCAATTATGCCCTGAAAGTCCTCGCTCTTATCCGTCGCCCTCCGGCAGAAGTTTAGTGCCAAACTCTAACTTGCTCGGGAACTGCTGGTGAGAAAACGCGGTTACGCCACAGCAGCTCGGTGCGGTTTCTCGGTTTCATTTTATTATTTCGTTTGCGTTGCACGTGGCAGAGGCTGCACGTTGTAAATAACTCAATTTATGTATCAAATTCGTGCCGACCGACCAAATTGAATGGGGCCGGCAGGACCATCTTAAGAAGGAAGAGGCTCGTGACGCGAATTTCTCATGAGACGGGCGAGAGGAAATTTTCGGTGTCACACTCGTGGTCAGCGCTAAACTGCCGCATCGCTGCGTGTTTATATGCTGGTCCTTGAGAAGAAAAAATGTGTACAGCTATAAAATTCATCATTATTCAACAAATCAATTTTTATTTTGATATTTTTTAAATTAAAATTTAAATTACTTATTATTCATTAAAAATAATGTATCTAGTAATTCTTTTTTAATAAAAACTAAAAAATTAAATTATAATTTTTTTTTTTAATTAAAAAGAAACATGAAATTAAATAAAAGTGTTAAAAATTTTATGAAGAAAAAAAATAACTAAAACAATAGTTTTAATCAATTTTAATTAGCATGTTTTTTTTTTTTAAATTGTGAAATTATAAATTAAATTTCTCTTTAAATACTAATAATGAAGCTGTGGTGTCCGGTTTAAATTATATCATGACAACTTCGTGAAGTAGACACAATTTTCTCAGTGAAAGGCAAACTCAATTACCTGATCTCAAATAGTACAATTATGTATTATTTAACATTCGTCTTAATTGTCTCGCTCATCTGCCAGCGTGTTTATCCAGCGCATTTGCCTCTCATTGTCAGACGGCGAATCTCTCTCTCTCTCTCTCTTGGTCGGTCTATTTGCACCTCGGTCTTGATTATCTCGGTACCGCGGCCGTGCACTCTCCTCGCGAACACACACGTTTACAATTATTTACAAAACTCTGGCGGCGTGTTTCTGATTCCGAGAAACTCCATCGCCGCTCATGCATACAAACTCTGCACAGAGCCTCGGCAAGCAGAGCAGCCTTGGCGTAGGTCAGTAACACTTCATTAGCCAGACTTCAAACGACGCTTTTTGCCTCTCACTCGCGCTCGGTGCAGTTGGAATGCCTGCTTGCGGCCGACCGTTCAATTCGCACCCCATTCATTGCCAACCAGAACAGCCTCGGACTGGTACTTTGCCGTTAGAGACAAAATCCTCAATTTTCTAAAGTCTGGGAAGTGCACTGAGGCAAACAATTAATCAATTATTTGGATTTGCAAACTTAAAATGGATTTAAGATTATGTTTAAAATCAATTATTGTTTAAAAATGATATTTGAATTAAAATAAAAAATTAAAAAAAAAATATCCTAGACATTGGCGTTTTGGCCCAATAATAATGACAAAATTTTTTGAAAATTGCATGAACTTTAAAAAACGTGAAGTTTTTTTCAAAATGACAAAAATGTTTTCAGTTTTGCAATAATTACATATTTATTAACAATTTTTGATAGTTTCCTTTTCACACAATTTAGAAAATACCTAGAAAAATAATGAAACTACCTTGATTTGTCTTTTATATTATTGAAAAATTATCTCTTGTGCTTTTTAAAAATTTTTACCTTTAAAAAAGGTCATTTTTTCACTGCCCTTTTCGTATTTGCTCTTTATAAACCAAACGTTATTTGCTTTCTGTTCAGACGCAGAATCTCATTATTCAAATCGATCCCAGCTTTTATGCCAGATAGTTAACAGTGTGCTTGCGTATATACGAACATTCGGAATTGATTTCCAGGGAGCTCTTTAGGAACGCATACTTTTGTTCACAGTCGGCGCTACGTTTTCAGTTCTGACCCATATTGCTCATTGAGCTCGTCGACGGCCACTGCTTTTGCTCTTGAGTTCTCCGTCGGGAATGAAAAATGCACACCCACATCTCTCTGCTGGCAAGAGAAACTTTGGGAATATCTACAGTATGTGTTTGAAAGATATAAACGCGCGTTCAAAAGTTTAGCCAAGTGTCATTACTTCACAAGGGTAATTATTAGTCAAGACTTTAACATTGTTGCCCATGGCTAGGTGAAAATAGATTCTCTGATGATGCAATTTCGAATACTTTTCAAACGACATCTTACAAAAAATTTTGAAATTTTTTAATACGGAAGTAGTAATTTAATTTAAAATTTTTATCAGTTTTATATAGAATATTAAATTTTGTCCTTTCAAATAATTATTTTTTCCCCAGCGATAAAAGTTGATTTTCAAATTCATCCTCGTCACCTTCAAAACGTCCAAGTACCAAAGTCCACACAAAGAGCTTTTGTAAACAACCCTTAAGGAACAAATTTCCCCCAATTCTTTCTGCTAGAATGCGTGTGAATTGGGTTACTGGCCTGCTGTGTGGAAAAAGCAACGAGATGAAAATCTTTGCGGAAGGAAATGTGACTCCCGATTTCGTCCCCCTTTCTCGACCATCAACACCTCTTCTTCTTTTCTAACCGCACTCTTTAGGAGCTCCTTTTAGCTGCACTCGCCGGCCGACCAGTTGTAAATCAAACCCTCTTTTCCCAGCAGCCCTTTACAGAGGAGCAGAGAGCCTGCGGAAAAGAATAAGACTCGAGCTGCCCGTCGGGTATTGTGGTCGGAAGCACAAAACAAAGTGCACACGTTTATCTGATCTATTTTCATGGCCCAATTTCTAGACTCGCTGGTCTCATAAAGGAATAAATTGACTGGAAAAATTGCGTGCTTTTTATTCACTTTGATTTTGATAAGAACAAATAAATTTGTAGAATAAATTAAAGATGCTATGTAAAATTTCCCGAGATGGAAATTATTTTTAAATTTTCAAGTAAAATTTACTGGAGATCAAAATTTTTAGTCAATTTTTGATCTAAAAATTGATTAATTAACTTATTTTAACTCATTCTAAAAAAAATTAACTCTGCATTTCGTTTATAAATTAAAAATAATCGGTTAATCCTTCCTCAGCTTAATTTAGCTCTGGAAAAAATTTTAGTTTCCTTCAACGAAATTCAGCCATTATGTATAGAAAAAATTTCCAGTGATGAGTTTAGAAACAATGAGAAACAATCATTCCTAGAAAAGTATAAAATTTCAAATCAAACGATTTTCTGAGATCATTAATTGTAAAAACGCTCAATTTTTTTATGGGAAAACTTAATTTGGGTTAAATATTTAATCTCAAAACTGAAGGAGATTCTATTTTTTTTCATTCATACCAAATTTCTTGTGCATTTCAATGCCTTTTGAAATCGTTTTCCTTCTTTTTATAACAAGAATATAGCAATTGTAGAGTGTGACACGCAGACATCCTTCAATCTTGCAAGTTTTTTCACCAAATCCACCGGCGCGGAAAGGAATTTTCCAATTTCACCGGCGGCGGAATTTTGTTATTGGCTGCGCAAGCATAACAAAGCAGCGACGACGGTTCCATCCATCGCACTGAAACAAATAAAAAAACAACCCCGGAGCGATCGTAGAGCTGCAGTTTATTAACACGCGCGTATTGGCGCATGGCTGATTTACTGTCATGCAATGACAGCGATTCAGGATCGTTTGGTCGCGGTGCAAATAAAAAAATCAGCGGATAATTGCGATTTTACAGCGCGTTTGACACCGACGCGGTGACAATGGCTGTATAATTGATTGGATCATTATGTCCCTTAGTTGACCGACCACGGAAATATTTCTTTCAGTGACAGATTAAAAACTAATTAAAAAAATGGAATTTTAATCTTCCTAAGCATTACTATTAGTCAACAAAGCTTAATTAAAGGGATTCTGATAATAATTTTTTTCATTTTTCCTTCTTTTTTAGGCAATTAAAAAATATCGAGGTATGGAAATAGCGAAAAATTTATTTTGTTTATTATTCTTACTTACAATTCTTTCTCAGGACAATGTCCTGTGAAATGAAAATTACATTATAAAAGTTTGGTACTGAATTAATAAATGAAATAAAAAAAGCAGAAAAATTCCCATTTTATAAGAAACAGTAGTTATTTTAAAAATTTATCTGGCTTTTTTAAAAGTAAATTAATACTCAAAATTATTAAAAGAGAAATTTGTTTTTGTATGCATAATTGCATATCTAATTTCATATTTCGTCTTTTTTCGCTTAAATTGTAAGATTTAAATCATTTCCTCGCCGATCTTTTTTATCCTTTCATATATAAAATTTCTCCACCTTCTAGAGATTTTTGTGCAATAAACGAAGCTTTGTTCACTTTGTCTCTCGCTTCAGGTGCATGCAGGAATTTGTGATAAGATGACGGTTAGCAAAGCACAAAGAAAGAACGTGGCTGAGTTTTCCCTGCGGACGAGGAGACGAAACCACCGCTTTTTGCTTTCACTCTATTGCCGCATGGAATTTCGCAAGGTTCCGCTTCAGTGAATCATTGTTGACTTTCCACACAGCCATTTTATGTCTGGAAAATTCCGACATATAACAGAGATAAATTTAATATTCTGAAAACCGTATAATATTGTTAATATTTTAGCCATGAAAAAATAAAGTCGTACGAATTAGTAAAAGTAATTTTAAGTATCGATTCAAATAATGATCCGGTAATTATTTTGGAAAATATCAAATTTGTTTTACAAACTGAAGTGAATGGTGTTTTTAATTTCATTAAATTATTTGAAATAAAAATATTATTACATTAATTTTTACTTAATTTGTGAATATTTTCTCTGTTTCAGGCAAAGCGGTGCCGTTTGTTGAGCTGACAGTGGCACACGCCTCGGTGCTGACCATCCTGGCCATCAGTTTTGAACGCTACTACGCCATCTGCGAGCCCCTGAAGGCCGGTTACGTGTGCACCAAGGCGAGGGCCTTTCTCATCTGCGTGCTCGCGTGGGTCTTCGCCGCCGTGTTCACCAGGTAAACCAAATTCAAAACTCTCCGAGGGCACTAATTTTCAAACCGAACAAAGTTAACTTTTCGCTCTGAGGAAAATTAAATTTATAAGGGAAAAAATGTGCGTTCGCCACCCCTGTACATAACGCCCCTTTCGTTCTGTTCATTTGACCTCTACCACTGACCATCATCATCAATTATTATTCCTGGACGTGTGTAAATATATATATAAAAATTATACCGACTGCAAATAATCTGCATTATACATAAAGTTTGGGCTGCTTTTTGAACGGTTGATGCTGTAAATATCCGTGAAAAAGACAAATCGAGCAAATTGGCTGCTGTAAATATTTTTGTCTGATTTGTGGTTAAATGTGGTGATCATTTTGAGACTTTGCTGAACGTCATGCGTTTGCATTTGAGAACTTTTTTCTGCCTGGTAAGTAAGTGGAGAGAGGTATGTGACTGGGCCGACAGCCGAGGTAAGCGGGTGGCATACTCGGTTCGAAAATCTCGCTTCTTGCATTCCTTCCTAAAAGTAACCACGTCAAGACAAAATATGATCAAAATCTTTCAATTCTCTTGGTTTTCAACGACTTAATTATTTTCGTTTGTTCTTCACTTTTTTAACTCGTAACTCGTACTAACGATATTCTAATTAAAAAATTAAATTAAAAATTTGGACGATGGTGAAATTTAATTGCTTTTTAATTTGGACTAAAATAATACAAGATTCCAATTTCTTTATGATTTTAAAAGTTTCTCTTTTATTACTTTTTTAAAATTAATTTACTGAACTTCTGAACACTCTCCATAATCTTTATTCTTGCTATAAATACTTTTTCGTGGCAGATTCTATCGCCGGAATACGAATATATCGCGCCTCTCATTTCCTCTTCTCGCGTTGGCTGCTATTTAACGACGGTCTCATCAGCAGAGAACCTCAGTTCGTTTTCATTACCACGCATAACTGACTCATGCGAATTTTCGCTTTCGACCTTTTGCGCGCCTCGCAAAATGCTCATCTAACCCACTAAAATGTTTGCTCTTTCTTATCTTGGTGTGAATAACGGCCTCATAAAAGTTTTCGTGGGCTGGCTAGGCTGCATAATGTGCAATTAAGGAAGTATTACATTTTTTTTTATATACGCACGATTTAACCGCGTTTTTATTTCTCTACTAAAGAAAGTATACAAAACATTCATGTTTGGTAAAATGAATCTTTCAACTTGTAATTTATTGATATATAATAATAGTTTTGGGTTTTAAGCAAATTATCGATTTTAAGAAATTTTAAAAATCATGTACTTTCATAGAAAATATATTTTGAAAGAAATTATTTATTAAATTGTAATAAATATTTGCCCCGTTGCAACACTTAAACAGAATGCGAGTTATTTCCCAATTAAAATTACAATTTCAAATCGTGCATGTTCCGCTTTTCACAGAAAAACTGTCAATTTTTACCATTTGCGACATCCACGCTTGGGTTGAGAATCATTCATGCAGAAACTGGTCTCGTTTAGTAACAAAGAGACGACGGTGGTGTGGCGCGAGGCCTCAAAAGTCGAAGAGGCGTGAAAGCGATTTGAACAGGCTCTCTGGTTTTTGTGCAACTCTCTTCCAACCAACACGCTACTGCCTGCATTATTCATGAATTAGCATATGCACGCGTGTAATACAAAGTAAAGTAAATAAATATGTACGGGTCGGGCAATCTGTCAAGCTTGGGCGCACGTACCGAGTGACATTTCAATTCAACGCCGCTTTCATGATAATAACTGCTACAAAATTGAATAGCAACGCGTCAAGCAACGTGAAATGAAGAGACTGTGTGGGGTGTTGAACAGGATTTCATAATTAAAATAAACCTCAAGGCTTCATATGAATTTTACATTACATTTTAGGACTTTTAGGAGTGCAAAAATTATTTAATTAATTTTAGGATTTGAATTTTGTTAAGAGTTACGCATTTTTTTTTTTTTTTAGTTAAAATAAAAAGACTACAATAATATGTTGAAATTTATTATTTGTAAAAAATAAAATTATTTCCAATTTCATTTAAAAATGAATTAGATTCAAAGTAATTAATTAATTTAGTGAATTTTAGTGCGTATCTTTTTTAATTATTAAACTTATATTTCAAATTAAACCAATATTTATGGAGATTTGAAATTAATAATAATAATTTTGTTTCAGTTTATATTAATTAAATGAGGTCTTCGTAAAGTTAATATTCTAATCAGGACTTCTTCCATTGTTAGTAATTCACATTGAATTGTCGATAAGAATGGCGAAGACCGTGTAAAACAGCAGCCTTTTCGCACAAAAACTTTTTATCTCAACCTTCTCAACTTCTTTATCGTTCCCCTTTTGTGTCCCCAGAATTCTGCAAAAAGAGCTACGATTTCGCCCTAATTTCTAATTAATGAGAAAACTTTCTCAATTTTTTCTCTTTTCGTTGCGAAAATCAAACCGTGCGAAAAATGTCTCTCGTTTTTCTCTCCAGGCGACGACGGAGACTCGGCGCAAACTTTGCTCTTTTCTTGCCCTCGGCTAGTGGCTTGTTTTCCATCCTCTTACGTCAGCTTTTGAAAACACAGCGACAGAGCAGATTCGCGTGTGACGTTTTTCTATTGGAAAATAAAAGGACAAAAATACCTTTCAAAACTCACAGGGCACAAGAAATTGTCCTCAGACGTCTTTCAAATATTTTTTCTTATTTGTTTGCCCCGTCCATAATGGACCCAATGTTTGCCTCAGTTTCTTTTTCCAAACCAACGTAATTCGAGCATTTTTCTCCAACGAGATGAAAAGAAAATCTGTGCAAAATGAAGTCCGGTGCGTCCAAGCGAGCTCCAGAGCGCAATTCTCGTCAGTTGCTTTACTTTACGATTACTGCCGTGCCCAGGCTGGCGCGACTTCATTTTCCTCGACGGAGTAAGTTTTACTCACTTGCTGGCTTTTTGCTCAACACGCACGTGACACTGATTACTCCGATTGTGGAACAAAGGATTTGCTGCAAAGAGCAGCACCGCCAGCCTTTATTACGTATCGCCCGTGTCGTTGTTATTAATTTTTGCATCAAGCGCTTTTCCCAGCCAGAAAATGGAACTCCCGAGTGGAAAAATTAAGGTTGAAGTGCTTTTACCTTCTAACAGAATTATTAAAAATCATCCCTATTACTTAGAATTTTAAAATAAAAGAGCTCTAAAAAAAATTTACTAGCCAAAGTATTATGCAACATGCATAATTAATAATAAACATTTATTTTGTCCTATTTGTATAAATTTATTTAACATCTTTTTCTATATATTTTAGATTTTTTTTTAATTTTCTTATTTATTAATCACCAATTTTAATGGAGGAGCCAAAATTATTTCAATAAGAAAAGTATTCAGCATCATTCCTTCTATTTTAATAAAATAAAAAAGCATCACATGAACTGTGGTTTTCGTTTTTTCCCCAAGCGTCCACACGTGCCCCTGCAGCTCCCGTAGGGTGTCATCACATTTGCTCACAACTTTTCCATTAACTCTGGAAGGTCGCCAAAATGCATAAACCCAACGGAGCCGTGTCATACACCCACGGCCTTTGTTGTACACGTGAAAATCCCACCGTTTTCACACCCTTTCTCTCCCCCATGTTGTTCATTTTAATGAAAAAAAGTGGCTTATGTACAGGAGTGCAAGGTGCAAAATAATATATTTGTTTCAACATGTTTTTTTTTGTGCCGTGCGAGTTTTCAACCGTATATTTAAACAGAGGTATTTTCGTCTCACCAAAATGAAAATGGTTTTTCGTGATTAAGCACAAGTGCCGTTGTTAATTAATAAAAAGTAATTGTTTAATCATATCTGAGCGCACATCAACATCTACTTCCTAGCTTTTTTTCAAACTTCTGTATAATGTGTGAACTTTATCATACGACTTTTTTAACTGAATATATGAACATCAGGCTTTGCTGCTTTCGAGTTACATGTCTTCTTGTTTGAGTCTATAAATCGGCTGTTTTTTTTTTACAAAAAATTCTAACAATGGTGTGCAGAGATGAACTAACACGGCTTTGTCAAGGGCGACTAACAACCAACCCCTCTATTCTCCTCTTTCTCCGACTCTCTCAACCCCAGAGTTGCGTCGCCGAGTTAAAACGCTCTATGTTGACAGCCCCATCCTGCTGATCGCCCAGTACAAGTTCCTTGACTACTACGACTCGACCAAGGTGCCCGTGTGTCTGATGCAAGCCAACTCGTTCTGGCCCACCTTCTTCTTCATCATGACCATCTCGGTATTCTTCCTGCTCCCCCTGTGCGTGTTGATGGCGTTGTACACGATCATCGCCCGCCACCTGATGGCTGAACCGAGCCATCCAGGCTGCAAGTCTGCCGGCACCCCTGGGGGAACCCTTTCGAGCACCAGCGGCCAACAGCAAGGTGGCGAAAGCTCAAATTTGCGAGCTCGCCGCCAGGTGGTGCTGATGCTTGGCACAGTTGTCGTTTCCTTCTTCATCTGCCTCATGCCGTTCAGGGTCTTCACCCTGTGGATCATAGTGGTGCCTGAGGAGACGCTCTTCCGTCTCGGGGTCGAGGGCTACTACAACCTGCTCTACTTCAGCCGCACCATGACCTACCTCAACTCGGCCGTCAACCCGATCCTCTACAACCTGATGTCCTCAAAATTCCGTCTCGGCTTCTCAAGGCTGTTCGGTTTGCGGAGGCGCCGCAGAGGGCGCTGGAGGCGCGGTAGCGAGTTGCGTCGTCTGCAGGGCAGTGCCGGTGACCTGACGACGGTGCAACGTGGAGACACCGCCAGCACCCGCATGTCGTCGGGCACCGTCTTCACCAGAAACGGCACCCTCACGTCGCTCTCCTACTCGAGCTTCTACCACAACAACCGACACAACTCAACGAGGCTGTCGCACGCCGCCGTCGACGCCAAAGAAAATAACAACTCGAGCCCGAAGAACGGCGCCGCTCGCAAGTCGCTCATCGTGCGCAACCCCTCAACTAGTCTCGAGCCGGGCACGGCCACCAGTGGCTCGGCCGCCGTCCTGGCCCGCTTCACCGTCAGGCAAAGCAGTTTTGACGCTCAGCCAGAAAGCTACGTCTAGAGATGATTTCTCTGCAAAAATTAATTATATAAAGCTCTCAATTTTCTTCAAATTCATCAACCGTTCTACACACTGTATCCAATCGCAGATCTGCGTAGTAAAATATTCTCTCTCATCTTTTTATATGTATATGTCTAGTGGATATTTATGAGGTATACAAGACGTTGTTGTTGATTTCTAAAACAGTTTTTTTTTTCAAAATACTAAATCAAAAAGCTTAACTAATGAATCCTTTTGGCTCTTTTAAATCACTGTAATATATTAATAGTGTGGTAGGTAAAAATTTCACACAATATTTGTGAAAAGTGCAATGCAATTTGATTTTTGCTAATAAAATTATCTAATTTTTATTGACAGGGATTAAAAAAATGCACATGATACTAGATTTTATAAATCCAAAACAGTTTTTTAAGCGATTTGAATTTAAAGCCGGCTTTTCCTTCGTGGGTTTTGTGAGTTCATTATTGCTTATGAAAAATGGTATCCTGCTCTACATGTTTCGGCTGCGGGCTGCAACCATATTTCATGAGCTTTCTCGGCGGTGGTCGAGAGAAAGGGCAGGATATTGTTTTTCTTAAACAATAAACAACTCACAAAACCCATCAAGGAAATTCAAATCACCATGAATAGTGAGATTCTACTACAAAATTTTAGAGCCTTTACACTTCTACTTTTTATTGAATTTTTTTAATTCCACAGAAGTATATATGAAATAATTAAAATTATGATATCAACCTAAAATTTTAACCAACAACAACTTCTTTTCAACCTACATAAAAATTGAAAACAAAAAACTTGCTATCTTATGAGCCAAAATTTAATTTGGTGCTCTTTTGAATAATATTTAGCGCGTTTTTTTACGAGATGCAAGAATTTCAAATGATATTAAATTAATCGCAATTGTCCGCTAAAATTATATTCTGCTTATCAGATATTTACTCGAAACCACGTTTGGAGCGAATACGACTGATTGTAAATTTTTCTCAAAGTCCGCATTTTTTAATAAATATCTTCCCTAAAAACATCATAACCTCTATAAAATGGAAAATACTTAAATGAGAAAATAGTAGTCCGCCCGTGGTAGTGATTCTCTCCACTCTCAGATATTGTGCTAAAAACAATGGAGAGTCCTGGTGACTTGAATATTATGATACCTACGTCTATTGTAATCACTGTAAATTACTGTATATCTCTTTTATATTCAGGGATCGCTCGCATCAAGACTGAGGAAGTATTTTTTAAACGAGATGAGATTGTAAGGAGAATCTTTTTTATTATTTTAAAAACCGGATTTACAAGAAAAATATCATAAAACGCAGGAGATTTTTTCAGCAATCAAAAAGAAATAATTTTCTCGTGCAAAGTGTGAACTGTGGAGTGACAATACAGGATCGCTTTTAAGTGAAGAACAAATTATCCCACCAGTGCTCCGAAATTCATTATATTATAACAACCCAAATAACTGCTGCAATCGTCATTTATGTGCAAAACGTGTTAATCGGTCGTTGCTAGCTGTTTTTTCTGTCATGTTTGTTTTTTTGTGTCGATGAATAAAATATTTTTGTGTTCTACATTCCACTCAAAAGCCGAATCAAAGCTGTATCAATCAATCATTATACTGTACGGTGTTTTCGTCGTTGCTGCATTTGTTGTGTGCAAAAAAATACATTCACAAAGAAACCACTCAGTGTCATCTTCACACAAATCTTTCCGTCTCTCCTTGGTGATTAACACGTGAATTAAAACGAGAGAAACATTCACCGTAATTCATTCCCCCAAAGTGTAATGTTGTAAGAAAAAATAAATATAAAATAATTTTTCTGCGTATTACGAAACTCACCTAGAAGTGGAGATGTCTCATGATATACTATTTTTGTGTACTTATCAAAAAATTATAAAATAAATAAAATGTGCAAAATTCGGGCCTACGTGCATGGATCTGTATCTCTATAGTAATATATTTTTGTTTGTCAAAAAAAAAAATGGTTCCATTCGTGTCGAAATAAAACGATTAAGTTGAGAAAAAGAACCGAAGACGTCCGCAAATTTCTCTTTTCCTTTCGTTCTGTTCTTTTCTAATTGTTGCCTCGGATTCAAATAAGGAATGAAGTGACTGACGGATCTGTCCCGTCGCTTGCTGCTGATGCAATTACGTTTGTTGAGCACTCCTTGGATTTAATGGAGTTGAAGCTGCTGGAGAGCTATAGTGGTGGTAGTTAATTCGAATTATATACGAACGTGCAGCACAGCAGTAGTTTGGAGACTTTTAAATTGATCACAATTAAAAGCAATGTGTGCGCTCACACGAAAGGAAGCTGCCGTCGCCGGACTCGAATAAACACCAGCGGCAGCCAGGCGGATTTCTTGTTGCCGACGATTAGAGCGAAGTGGGACACGAGGGACCTCTTTTCGGGTGGATAAGGTAGAATGTAAGCTGCCGTTCGAATCCAGTAGATAATGTAGGCAACCCTCGCAACTCTCCTATGTAGCTACTATATTTTTAAAAACAAAAAGCTTTTTGGTAAAAGTTTTTACTATTAATTTCTTTTAATTGTTGATTTTTTTATTTAATAATCTAATTTATGAATGTAGAAATATATTTGTTATTTTATTAGAACAGATATTAATTTTTTTAAATTAGTAAAATTTTGGCTCATATGATGATTTGGATAATTAAAAAAAATTAAAATTTATTGCAAGCTCATACTCAAGACGGACAGATCAAGTTTAAAATAATAATCTAGCATCTTATTTTTTTCTTTTCTGCGATCTATTGTTGTATTATTCAATATTTTTTTAATTGTGTCTTCATCACATTTCTGTTATCCTATATCTGCAGCACCAACAACTAGGCCGGGTCATATCTCTGCAGTCCCTTAAGTGCTTTTTATAATTATTAACTACTCGAAAATTGCACTGTCTCGGTCACCTCGGTCACGTCTCAACAAAAGGCCCAAATGTAACTTTCCAGCTGAACAAAGCCATTTCCACCCTTTTCCGCCTCTCTCTCGCGCAACAAAGAATTGTGCCCCATATTTCTAGAACAAAAGACGTGTCGGGCAGCAGCTTTTTCCCTCATCCCGCCGCAGCTGCTGTGAGAAAGGACGAAATCGTTTAAATAAAGCGACTGCTGCGCTCGTAGCTCTCAAGATGGATGAGCGTCCGCAATATTTCATTTCTGCTCTTAAATAAGTGACAAACACACACGTCCGCTCATTTTATTATCATACACTGACACCCTTTTAGGTCCGTTAGAAGGAAGTAAGTCCTACTCCGACCGGTAAGTCACTCCGGCCGCAGAAAATGAGTTAGAAATAATATTTTTTTTTCATACGTGCATGTAAATATGTAGTGCTGAGTGTTTTTCTATTGTTCTCTATTTGTAATTGTCGGTGTTGATTGTGATAGCTTTATTTTCAATAATTCCTGCAAAGCGGAAGGGGAGATATGATGAAAAATAAATTGCACCAAGGGTATATTGTCAATAAAGCACTCGGTTATTATTGCATTCTGGGACGAGGCGATAAATCACTCCCAACCCGATAGGTATTTTATCAGAAATAACACGCCCCGGTCGGCACTCGCTCGTTGCCTCTATATTATTTACGGCCGATCGACAACTCCACCTTGTTTCCTCTTCCTCTCTACTTGCTCTTCGGAACGACAACTTTTGCATTGGCAATAATAATTTCATGCTCGCATGACTCTGGGAAATATTAATAAAATATCCCCACCGACAAGCCAGCTGTCTTTATGGGATTAAGTTATAGAGCCAAATATGAGGAAAAAAATACATAAATAAATACCGTCCTTATATCTGCTGCAATTTCCTCGTCCTGAACGATTCATTCCTGTTTTATGACAGTCGTAAATTTTTTTGTTACTGTTTTAAAATAACCTAACGTACTCTTTAGAATTTAAATTATTTGCTGTGCCATAATAAAACTCTTGAGAGAAGATATGAATAAAATATCGTGAATTTAAAATACTAAAAATAAAATTTTTTCCCTTGATCAACTAAATTATTGGAATAGCATAAGAATGCTGAATGATAAAAAAAAAATATTCTAGATGAATGACTGTGTATTGAAAAGAAACTACTTTTGAAAGCGTATTTTTTTAATCCAAACATCTGTCTTGTTGTTGTTATTAAAACGGCCGTGACTCTCGGAGTTACAAAATTATAAAAAAAAAATATGATGAATCGGTGCATAATCAGGAGTTTTCTAGCTTTTGTCCTGTGCTCATATGATCTAAAAAAAGCAACTGTTGTGAAACTTACAATCATAATCAAGAATTTTAACAATCCCAATTTTAATATGATTTCTCAGGTCATAGTGATTATGAAGTTCTTTGATGTCACCAGTCATTTTACAATATTTTAATTTTAAACGAAATATGAAAACTTACAAATTAAAAAATACAATCTATTTTATTTCTTTGATAAAAGTAATGAAGAACGGAGAAAGAAATAATAGAAATTGCATCAAATTTTATTATTTTATTGATATATTTATCTGAATCAGTTAGAAGATTTTAAATTTTTAATTTAGAGCACAGTTTTATTAAACTTTAGCAAACTTTATTCACCTTTTTATTTGTAAATTTATAGATGTAATAACTTTCATATCTGTAGATAATGAAATTTTCTTACACTTCCGGATTCCCATACTTTTTAACTTCTCTAGAAATAAAAAGAACTCCAGATAAATTTTACCCCGCAATAAGATGGGAAATTTTAATATGTTCCGAACGATATTCTGAAGTTATGCAACCTTATGGCAGATAATATTTCCCTCGTCGAGGTGAAAGTGTCGCGAATTATGGCACTCGGGGGTGGCATTAGCCGACCTCGGGCGATAAACGCGATTCAGCGCGGCATCCATCGTCACGTTACATCCCACGCTTAATCCTTTCGTTCGTCATTTCATTTCCTGCCTTCCTGTCGCGACCGGCTGCTGATTTGTATTCCAGGGACGCGTCGCTTTTATCGCGCTTGCACTCGCGCGCGCGGCGAGAGATAGTAAATAATATTACAAATGCATTAAAACGTGTGTGCGCGACTCGAATCCTATAAAAATCGCGACTCCCTCTGCTGGGGACGCAGAGGAAACGAAAAAGTAGTTCGCCTCTTTTATTGTTTCGGAGGTAAATGCACAGAGGGAAATCCTTTGTGAGGCTCATTTGGAGTTTTAATATCGCATGATTTTTTTAATAATCAAAATTAATGAAAACAGTTCAATAGAAAAAAGATAAAAAAAAAATCACATAGAACAGATAATTCAATTTTGATATTTTTAGTTTACAGTGAAATCAATAAAATGTTACGTAAATTATTTTTAGTTTTAGTTTTTACTTATTTTCGACTGACATAACAGTAACTTTAGCATTAAAGAAATAAAAATAAGTCAATCGGTGAAGAAGATAACCAGGCAAAAAAATTTATTTTAATAATGAATCAAAATCGCCCAAATTTTGTTATATTTGGGCTGGATAAATGTGAACTACTAAATTCATTAAAACATTCATTCATTGATACATCGATCAATTTCCATTTATCGTGTTTACCTTCGTAATTAAAAAAAGTGTGATGATCTATTGGAATAAACAAATCAATTCCCTTTTTAACTAAAAATATGTGTGTTCGTCTGTGCCCAATTTTTCTTGACGCCCGTTCAAGTGAGTTGAATTTATTTATATCTAATTTTTGATGTTTTCATTTTGTGTGTGCCTAGGTCATTATCATATCATACGCAGAGTGTTTGGTTTTATGTGAGATTTTGTGTTGTTATCTGCTCTTTGTACAGTTTGTGCCCATTGTTGGTGTTTTGTTGCCTCGATATCCGTCTATATCCATATCGGTGCTGATTGCCGCGCACGTCGCGTTCCATTAGCACAAAAGTATTGCAGTTCACCGACGGCGCGGCTCGGGTGATGGAAAGCAATTTGCGAGATGTCTGTGCGCTGATTGCACCCGCGCTGCACCACTTAACTGAAATTTCACCCCGCAACCCAATTCGCCATCGCGTCATCTGCCTACCCGTACTGTTACAGAATGTGTGTGTCTTTGTTACATGTAGCATGCAATTTTGGTGTCGGCTTTCGACAAATATAGGAAATAGAATAATGGGATGTGATAAGAGAGACATACATTGTATATCGACCGACCCGATTTGTCTCTCAGCCAACAGAATTTACACTGCACCGAAAAGATTTTTTACTAAATCTGATATATGTTTGATGTTTATCGTTCACAAGTTGATGTCACTAATGTTTCTAAAACATTTCTAGAACATGCGAAACAATTTTGGAAGATCAGAAGAATAAAAAAGAATAATTTTTTGAGTGAAATAAAATAAATATTAAAATAAAAAATTATAAATTATAGAACATCTCATTTTACAAGACTATAAAAACAACCCAAATTCAAATACCATTTTTTTCCTTAATTCAAAATATATTTTTATACTTCATTAATGGGTTAATTGGATTTTTTTACAATAATAATCGAAACTGCAAATTTGGGTTCAAATTTTGAGTATTTAAAATATACACATTTCCCGCTGTATTGAAAAAGGTATTGAAATGTGCGGCTAAAAATATCCTGTTAGCTGGGTTAATTGGGCCTTAAAATCAAATTATGCTGTATAAATTAAAAAATAATGTTAGATTCAGTTTTAATCCAATTATTAATAGTAAAAATTTTAAAATTACATTAAAATATTACTGTGAAATTGAATAAACTGCACAATTCTTAACTTTGCATGCCAATTGGTGTTAATGAGTGTGACTAACTAACCGCACTTTAGTGGTCCAATTCTCCTTACCGCCAGTAAAGCACCTCGCGCCATTTTTCTCTCTGTTTCAGTCCGATTCTGGCGGTGGCCGAGTACAGCTTTGAAGAGTACTTTGACGGCACCACGGTGCCCGTATGTTTCACCAGAGCGGACGACTTCTGGCCGGTGTGCTTTTTCATCTCGACCATCTCGCTCTTCTTCATCATTCCGTTGGCCATCCTGGTCGTCCTCTACTCCATCATCGCGCGCAGCCTGACGGCCAATCCGGCCCTGGCCAAGTCCATGTCCTCGCACCGTGGTTGCAACGGCCACATTTTGCGCTACCGCCGGCAGGTGGTGCTGATGCTCGGCACTGTTGTCCTTTCCTTCTTCCTCTGCCTCTTGCCCTTCCGTGCCCTGACCCTGTGGATCATAATCGCACCACCAGAGGCGATGGCGTCACTTGGGGTCGAGGGTTACTACAATTTGCTCTACTTCTGCCGTATCATGCTCTACCTCAACTCGGCCGTCAACCCGATCCTCTACAACCTGATGTCCTCAAAGTTCAGGGATGGCTTCGCCAGACTCTGCGGAGTCAAGCGAGGATTGAGGCGCAGAGCGACGAGGACTTCCGGCACTGGAGATTCTCTGCTCATCGGCCGAAACGGCACCTCCAGTGGCTCCACGCAACGCACCTCATCGTCCAGCGAGTCGGCCGCGTCCTGGCGACGCAACCACTCCGTCTGCGCCGCCAGTGTCAGGAGCAAGCAACAGTCCTTTTTGATTAGGCAAGCCTCCTCAAACGCCGCCGATGCCAAGGCCAAGGGCGAGAGTTACGTCTGACCTTTTGAATCCACAAACTCTTGAATGAACACAAATAACAAGGCATTTAAGCAAGAAGACTGATTTTCACACAAAAATGACACGGCTGAGCCACGAAGAATGCAAACGTTTCTGATTGCAAATTAGTTTTCACACTAATTCCTAAATAATCGTTTGTGAATGGCCTTTTTTGGCTGAAAATTTATTTAATAGGCTGGGCAACTTTAATTTTGAGATTCTCAAAAGATTATTTAGGAATTGTTGTTGGTTGTTACATTCGTATAATATTGTGGTACTGACAATACCAATTATTTTATTGCAATCGAAGCGGAGCTTGGTAAAAAATAATGTAATTATGTAATGACAAAAACATTTAACAAAAGTAATAAGTTCAGCAAACTTCAGTTAGATTATAATTTATATAACATCAAAATATTGTATTCATGGGAGACATTGAGACAATTTTAGGCAGAAATTGAAGGATTTTTTTGCAAGTGTCCTTAATGGTTTCGTTAGGTAAAGTCGAAGAATTTACAAAATATTAAAATAATAGAAAATTTTTTGATATTATATTTTGGCTACTTTTCTTTTGATTTTTTTCAACGTGGCCTTGCAAATTAAGCCGCACATTTGTTACATCGTTTCTCTGATCCTTTTATGAGAATTATAAGTTTTTTAGAAAAACAAATATAAATAAATATGACATGTAGTATAATTATACTTTTAATTGTTGCTGTTGATCCTAAATAAAAATATTAAACAGTTCTAATCATTATACCATGCCAAAGGTTAAATGGAAATATAATATGTCAAAATAATATCTCAAGTTACTTTATGTTCAATGTTGAATAATTATTCGCAATCATAAATTCCTGTGAATTGTAACGAAGTCGTTCCTCGTCTCATTAAAACTCATGTACATGTCGGTGTGATAAACGGAAAAAAAATTGAGAAAATTAATCTTGCCATTTAAAAGAAGACTCGATGTAATATCTGCAAATTTTTAGTAGAGCTGAGGTATGTTACACAAAGTTGGTGTCTTGAAAATCCGTGTCTTGCATTTAGGAGGAAGTATACAATTGCATGACTATATTTATGTAGATTATCAGAGAAGCGAGAGAAATACAAAGAAAGTATTTTTGTACAAGAACAAATTTATCATTAAGTGCGACAAAAAAATTATTTATTTTTGCGCTTAAATTGAGTAAAAAATAACAGTTCCTTTTTGGGCAGCCTTTTAAAAGAAAATGGAAAAATGAAATGACAAAATAGAATATTTATCGATTCAAAGTAAAAATCTCAAAGGCTGATGCATATTGCACTATTATTTGAATAAATAAATTTTAAAACTTATAAATGATTTTGCCAAAATTAACAGAAATTTTCTAGCTAAATTTAAGCTTGCGTGCATCAAATCTTGAGTAAAAGTTTCCATCAAACTGATATTTTCAAATAATTTATTACTCACCACATAGTTGTTAATTTTAAACGGTTGTAGATTCCATAGAAATAATATATATTGTATCAAAATTAGTTAATTGCCGATTTCTTGTCCAATGGATTGAGGATTATTTCTCTAAACATTTTAAATAATCGACTGATTCTCAGAATGCGTAAGAATAAGAACAAGCAAGAAGAATACTATAATACACTGTGTATTTTAATCCACTCTTGTCGTCTAATTAGAATGTGCCATATACGCCAAAATGTAATGTTTACACAAAGTGTGTGTTAATTTCACGTGTCTCATCTGTGTGTCTAACCACGTTTAGCTTGTAGAGGACTTTAGCGAGATCTTTCTCGGTGCAGGAAAGTAGAGCAATATGTAAATTAACCATCTCCTAGGTGTAAGCAAAGTGTAAAGGAAACCAATAAAACGTACATACACACCGTGGCGGGCGAGATAACATCACGTTTCGCAGTTTCAATTGTTATTCCGGCTACAACACCCCATATCCCTCCCTTCGATCTTTGTTCACTCACCTTTTTCTTCTTCTTCTTCCTTCGCTGCATTTAATTAATTAATTCCAGCGGCGCGACACGCAGACAATTTCAATTAAAGGGCTGCGGCGGCAATCGATGTCACCTGCTGGAAATAAACGAGGATGAAAACAACGCAGCAGAATCTCTTTCCAAGATTTATTTTTTTTACCAGAGGCAACGTGGTTGTAAATGAAGTTTCCTGTGAAGAACAGGTAGGTTCTTGCGACCCAGTTGGTACCACAGAGCAATTTACTAACTAAGGATAATCTGATGGGGTCGTAAAGTTTTGCTGCGAGGCAAGAAGAGATTTATAGGATTTGTTCTTTTATTTTTACAAAACTCTGAAAATGAAAAGAAAAATAAAGGTTTTATAAACAATAGTTAACCGTTAACTAAAAAATTTCTTTCAGGGAAAATATTTTTCACCATTTTAACACATTTATATTTTTATACAGATATCTCTGCTTCAATTTCTATAGTTTTAAAGGAGATATAAACATATACATGTCACAATTTGTGAATTCATTTTTGTAGCCTTAAAAATTTTTTAATCATGAAACTATGAAGATTGTATAATGAAAAAATATCAATCCTTATTCTAAATGAACAGCTCAAAAGTATTTAAAAAATTAATAATTCAGAAATTGAAATTTGTGTTTATTAAAATGAACTAAAGGATGCATTTGCCATTTGGCTTTGATCGTACAATACAAATATCTTAACAATATTTTTTTTTGCAACCTCAAAGATTGACAATTTCTCTGATTCTCATGTTAAAAATTAATAAGTTTTGGTAAGATTTTAAGAGAAATAATGCCTTTGAGGCTGCTATGAGTAGAGAGAATAAAAGAAGAGTTATTTGAAGCTGCTTGTGGCGTGGCGCGCCTGCGAACAGCAATGGGTAGGCCACCTGCATGGCAAGCGCTCGAACCCGGTTGTATAACAGGCAGGCGCTAGATGGACCCAAGCTGGCCAAAAATAACCCCGCGGTGCTCGTCGGTGGTGCGCGAGGCAGCGACGTGGGACGTGCACGGCGAACAAACAAATGACGGTCGATCCGTGTGTGTGTTGAAAAGTCAAGTCGAATGTCTGCAAGCTGTTCGGACGGACAGCGCACTCGGAAATGGGCCCAAAATGAGCCGACCACGGCGCAAGTGAGGCGGCCGGGGGCATGCTGAGGACTGGTGCGGAGCCGCGACCGAAGAATGCAGGCCGAGGAGGGCAACAAGACCCTTAAGGTGCCCACTCCGACATTTGTACCCGAGCAAAAATTAATTTCTCTAATTCTTCCGGAACGCAGCGCAACCCCAAGGTGGAGTTGGGCAGGAGCGACCTGCTCAAGTTGCTGGGCCACTTGGAGGGAGAGTTGCAGGCCAGGGACGTCGTCATCGCCGCCTTAAAAGTGAGCAAATCTGGAAATCTCGAAACTGCAGCCTGTCATTTAACTGCGTCGCAATCATTACTTAAAAGTGGTCGTTCAAGAAAAACATTCATAAAATTTAATCAAGAAAAAAATAATCTACATGAATTTCTAAATAATCCTTAAATTTCTATAATTATCGTAATTGAAATAAATTATTGCAATTTGAGAAGTTAAATTTTTAAGTTTTTAACAGTTTAAAATTAAGTTTTATAAATTTTCCTTTTTTGTAATTGAAAAAAAAAATACCTTGAAGTTATTTTTAGATATTGCTGGCAAACTTTATTTGCAAGTCAAACAAAATGACTTTTTTCTCTCTAGACCTTTACTATGACAATGAAATCGTTGTTTATTATTTCCCGTTCCAGCCGAGAAACCATTTGGTGCAAATGTCAGGCTGTGTGTTTGTTTCGACTGCAAATAGAAGCCGTTTGGCGTTTTTACCGTTCCTCAGAATTTATAGCGCAAGTTCCGAGTCCGTTTCTCGCGTGCCCACGACCAAATTGAATACCGCGTGACAGGCGCCCGAATTAGTTAGGGTGCAGCGAACTTTTTCTCCGCACATTGCTTTTTTCTCAAAGTTTCGTGATATTTCAAATGTCGAGAAGTTTATAAATCAAAGGTTAGAGAAAGAGAGAGAAGTTAAAAATATTAAAAAGTGACATTCAAACAGTTAATAAAATTAAAGTTTGTTGCATTGTTAAAAGTTTTCAAGTTTTTCGCTTTCCCTGTCAATTATTGAAATTAAATTAGCTATTGATTGATTTTTTTTTCTATATAATTTCCTAAAAATATTAGTTGTATATTTTTATAAACTAATGGCAGAATCCTAAAATCGAGGATTTGTATTTTAAAATTTGATATAATTATTTAAATATAAAAACAAGAAGGTAAAAAAGGCAAAATAAAAAATCATTTGCAACTGAATTTGCTAATCAATCTATCCAAATAGTTTGAAAATATTTTTATTATTTTGACTTATAAATTTTTGATTATGATTTTAATTCTGAGAAAAAGGTTGAAACCTTTTCAGTTTATCTTGAACACTAAAATCAATTTTCCTTTTCATTTTTTTTTCCAAAATATAACTTTCAGTGCGAACGCGTGAAGCAACTGCTGATCGGCAGCAGCCGCGTGACCTCATCGCTGGCTGCCCTGCAGCGGGACGGCTCGCTGGTGCGGGGCCCCAAGGTGGACGAGGGCGCCATCAAGAACCTGGCCGATCGCCAACTTGCCGCCCTCGAAAACCTGATCGTGCAGAACCGTCGCGTGCAGGTGCACATGAACAAGGTGCTCAAGGAGACGGAAGAGCGCCACGTTCAGGTTCGGAATTTCGTCTAAAAATGGAGAAGAAAATTTTTTAGAAAAATGTTCAAAACGCAGGTGGTGAATCAGCTGGACAAGATGAAGCTCGCTATGCAGGACGACGCCGAGTCGGAAGCTGAGAAGGCAAGATTGAGACAAGTAAGGAAATTTTGGCATTATTTATTTTATATATTTCAAAATTATTATTTATTTACAAAGCAGTTTTTACGACGTCAAAGGGGGTTATCGTGATTTATTTTTATTGATTTTTGAAGATTATTTGAGTGAATATGAGAAATTTAAATGATTTTTTTAAGCTCTTTTGGTATTTTTATTTTTGCTCGTCACAAATGGAATTATTGTAGCGACCGACTAATTCCGTCGGATGCCCCTCGCTATTAATTATTTCTGCGCCACTGAAGGGGGAGGCGTGTGTGCTGGAAATCATTGGAATTAGCAACGATTTGGGTCAAGTATCGGCCCACGTACGTTCGCTCTCTTTGCTCTGTCTGCCGACCGAATGCATATTTCATTAGAGCCCAGCCGGCACGGACCGAACGAGCCTCATCCCATTATATTGCCATCACACAAAGCCTCTTTTCTTCTCTCGCCAGCGTCGGCCCGGCATAGGCAACCCGCGCATCGCGCGAGACGGGCAAAAAGCTCGACGCCGCAAACGGCAGGCGCACGAGAGGCCCATATAAATTATGACGGCGGAGGAAAGAAAATATTGATGAGAAGTACTGAAAGGTCATGATTGCCCACCTCGACCAAACTTCTTCATTATTTTTTTATGTTACTAAAAAGTTTTTTAATGGCAATAGCTAAGTTGTCAAAAAGTTGCTTTGGGCTTTTTTATGCTGAGAAAATTTCCAACCTTGGCTTATCCAATTTTAATTTAATTTATATCTCTGTAGATCTGTAAATCATAACATTTTTAATGAATTCAGAAAGAAACAAAAATCTTGAAATTTAAGGATAAAAAATAGTTAATCAATAATCATATTAATTGAAAATATCTTGAATTAATTTTAGGAATTGGAAGTTGAAAAGCAAGAGAAGATGAAGTTGGAGGAAGATTTAAAGAAAATTCAAGAGCAATTGGAAGAGGAGCGTAATCGTCAGAAGCAGATTGTCCTCTTGCTCTTGGCAGACAGAAGGAAAGTAATAATGAAGTACATTGAAGAGAGAAAACGTTCCGAAGACCTCGCTCAAGTATTTTTCTTGATTCGAAGTAAAAATTTCATTTTATTTTTTGTTGCTCTAATTTCCAGATTTTGAGTGAAGAAAAGGCGCGCGTAGACTCGATGGCGGAAGGCCTGGAAGAGGAGAGCAAGCGGGCGCTTCAAATGGAGGCCGATCTTGAAAAGCACCACGCAACCTTTCAGGTTGAGCGACAGCAACTGAAAGCAGCCCTGGCCAAGGAAGAAAAACGGTTGGTTTAATAAAATAAAAGTTAACAAAAAATAAAGCATACATTTTGCAGCGCTCGAGAAGCGGAAATTCAATTGGAGGCATTTAAAAGGAAGTTTGCCGAGGTTGCAACAATGGGAAGACCGCAGAGTTCTTCGACCTTGGTCACCAAAGTGGTGCAACCAACGGCAACGGTGTCCAGTAAACCCGTCAGCGCCCCAGGTAAAAAACAAATCTGCATTTTTTTTTAATTGAAATAAAAATATTATTTATTAAATTAAAAAATAAATTTTCCAAATTTATATCTATATAGAAATAAATTTATTTATTTTGTTTTAACTAAATATAAATTTAATTTGCAGTGACTGGTATAGCCAGGAGTGTGGCATCAGCACCAGTTTCAAGAATTGCAGAATCTCCACAGGTTTGTGCTTAGTCATAAATTTAAATTAAACAAAATTTTATTTATTTATTAAAAAAAGTGAGCGTAATTAAAATATTTAACTCTCCTTCTAGGTGGTGCAGATGTCCCCTCACGTGAGCCTGCAGGCGAGTCCAGGCACCAAGGTGTTCACAAGCACCAATCAGGACGGCAGGGTGACGTACCACGTGAAAAGTGCGGTCGCCCCTCCACTGCCAGCTGCAGCCAAGAAACCGCCCTTGGTGCCCCCTGCCGCGGGCCGAGGGGCGCCTCCCCCGATCCCACCTAACAAACCGGTGGTGCCCCCCAAGAGCAAAGACCTCGAGACCAACAAGACTTTGAGCATCAAGCAGCCACCCAGGAAGACTTGAACTTCAAGTTAAACACGCGCCAGGGCCTTCTTGTGATACGGGCACGTACAGAATATATAAATCGGGACTCTTCTTACTTGTATCAATAATTTTTAAGTTCGATATCATTCTAGTCAGCATTTTGATTGAATGTTTGAGTGATTATTTTTGTACACAACACTGCTTTTGCGTTTTTCTTCTTTCTTTGAGACTTTGACTCAATCATGCAATCAAAACTCACGCTAGTTCCTATTATATGAATATCTAGTCAGCCCGCATTTTGGAAGGCTCTGGTCGCTTATTTATGGTGCGAGATTTTATTTTCATTGCGTCTTGTCCTGTTAATTGATTGTTTTGTAAAATGAACACAAACAAATTAAGTGACGTGTCTGTAGCTGCAGGTCTTCCACACCGAGCAATTTATTCTAATACTTTTCCTCTTCAGCACACGCTTCTGTCCTAAATTGTTGTATGGTTTCTGCATAATCTACAAAATAACACTAACTGATGATGTGATAGAAGGAAACTATTATTATTATGAAGTTGAACTACTACTGTATACTTGATAATTGTGTGTATTTGCGTAATATAAGTGATAATTGATCGGAATATTTTCTCAGCCTATCAATATTTGAGAGGCTTGAATTACAAATTTTCCTGGAGTGATTTTGCAATTTTCATAAATCAAGTTTCTCAAAAACTTGTAATTTGCTTTTGACCGATTTTTTATTTATATTAATTATAACTAAAGAAGAATTTTGGTCTGTATAAAAATTTAGCCCAGAAGGAAGTAAAAGAGTCAAACAACTTAAAAAAAGTTCGTGATTTTGCAATTTGCTTCTATAACGCAAATACATATTTCCTCATTATCCATTGGTTAATTTAACCATTTGATGATAGTTCTTCTAATTTATTGATGGTTTCCACGTAGAGCACCCCACTCCTTGCTCGTAGGTTTAGTTGGGTGAGTGCAAGTTAAACCACAAAGTTCACTGTGGAATTAATGTAGAATGCCTCTATGAACAAAATCTAAAACGTAATACGTGTATGTCCATTACTAAGCAACCCGTCAAAAACGAGAAAATCTGTTATTATAACACATTTCACAAACGATCGACAGTGAAATAAAAAATAATAAAAGCTACGAAGGAAGTATTCTGGTATATAATACAAATAAACAAAAAAAACTCATTACTCATAATATTGTAGTCATTAGTCCACATAATATGACTTGGAAGAGAAAAACTTCTTGCTTATTTTTCATCTTCTGGACCTGTGTGATCCATAAGAAGTAGTGTCAAAAACGCTTGTTGAAAATTATATTATTCAAAAAGAACAATGTTTTTATAAATAAAACAGAAAATGCGTTCAGCAATATTTGAATTAATATCATTCGAATCCCCATTCTAAAATAATTTGCGGTAATCAGAATTTGAAAATAAAGGTCAAAATTATTTTACTAAACTCGCAGCTCATTTTTATTTTTTCCTCGTACATAATATGGCATTTTTCCTTTACAAATGTTTTTCAGTGAGAGTGAAAATGAGTGGCATACATATCGATTGCGAAATGAGAAAATGCTCGGCAACAGCAACAAAATTCACATTTAAATTACCTCTGGAAAATTAGCAAAGTGATTAATCAATTAACAACAGACCCGTACGTGCAACGAAAACCAAAATAAAAAGAAAGTCTGAAAATCCAAAGCCGCAGGAAAATCGACAAGTAGTTCAGAAATAAAGAGAGTTGAGTTAAACATGAGGTATTTAATGGCACGCAGTCGTGTATTTTTTTTCTTTTTGTTATCATCAATATCATCAGTCTTTGTAGCAATTAATTGATTAATAATTAATTAGTCCGTCGTGAGTGTTCTTCAACATTGTAGCGAGAAAATGGGATCTGTTTGCCGGCCTGGGACTTTGCTTGCATACAAATTCAATTTTTAATTTTTTCACTTTGAATTTTTAAAGATGAAGTTGACTAAAAATACAATTGGGTGCCTCTGCCAAAGTCCCAACGCCTTCCTGAGTGGTGTGAGGAAATGTAAAAAACGCCACATTACACTTCTGATGAGCGGCCGATTCCGCCCGAACCTCCTAATTTTTTTTTTAAATTTTTTGAATAATAATCCAAGACTTTGCGCATCCCACTGACAATCAAATTAAGAGGTTCGAGCAGAGCTAACATACTTTTTCCGCTTTTAAGAATTGCAGAATTTGAATTACATTTTAGTATACAGCAGCAGCAGCACATCTGTGAAAAATACATTTTTATTTCAATATTTTATAATAATTATATAGTCATATAAATTTTAAATACACAATTTTTGTTTTGAAAAATTAAAACCACTAAGTAAAAAGACGCCATACGCAAACAAGGCGCACGCAATTTCAAAATTATGTGAAGAACAGTCATAATACATTATGAATAAAACAGGGTGCTGCTATATATAAGACATCGTAGTTGTTTAAAAAAAAATCTTTCGAAAATGTGCCGAATATTAAAAATATTTTGCTATGATAAAATAATCAAAAAATTTCTTTACAATATTCAAAGACATTTTAGATTTTAAACAGGTGCAAATTTGAGATTTACATACGGATAGAGCAGAATTTGCGCACTTTTTTTTTGAAAATAGTAAAATATTTGAACAAATAACAAAGCAGCACGATAGAAAGAATTGTAAGAACAATAACATTATGCATAACCTTGGAGGCTAAGTTTGCCACCCTAACTGAAACCACCAGCCAATCTTCTTACAAGAAGTAGTTCTAAATTGTTTACAAGATTTCCTTATTCAATTATTAATTATATATCTGCTAATGATTTCATACAATATAATTAATTATACGCCTAAGATTAATAAGACTCCGAGTTTTTTTTCCATTATTTACGATAAAATTCAGTCGTTACGTTTCGAATTCAACGCTGCTGGGGCGATTTAATAATCGAGGTTAACCATAATTTCTCTTCAGTCGAAACAATCTCAGTACGATTAGTTAATTAATCATTTACGCTATTTAGATTACAGCATTATGTTTGTGTTCTTGTATAATAGGCTGTATTAATTTGCGCTAGCGGCGGCGCCCGCAAAAGTCATTTGAAAACAAGCTGCCTGCTCAGTAGTTACGAACGTGGACAAAAAGGATGAAATGTATAGACACAGGTCTAAAGTATTCTTGATTACTGAATTTTGATTGAAAAAATATATCTTTAAGCAATGTCTGATTTCAGGGATGAGGACGCCGCTTAGCCTTGATCAGTTCTAAGATCTATGCGATATAAAACGTTTTAAGTTCTTCTGTTTTCTGTCTAAAATGTGAGCAAAATGAAGCAGCGTCGCGTTTGTTTCTTTTTCTTCTCCTTAGGCAGTTGATGTAGTGTGTTTTTTTTTCTTCGTATTATACAAAAATCATGTCGGCCGAAAAAAGCATTTACATAGAATAATAGTAGAGCCTACTCTTAGTACAAGGTGCTGCAATCATACACGATTGTCCATATGGAAACAAAACACAAATAAACACTGTTCATACAACATCTGTTTTCAGATGGTTCAATACTCCCGCCTCATCAAGGGAATCTCTCTGTAACAAAAAAGAATGCAAATAATTATTAACGGTGTGTGATTGATTTTGAAACATAATATTTGCAATTAAACTGCAAATATTTCAGACTGTCAAAAATTCAGTCAATAATATAATCTTTGAGTCCCAGGAAACCCATACTAAGGTAATCCCAATGATTTCTTTCTTTCGACTAGAAAAACATGTTACACACTAGTTATAAAAGCCAATTTAGCCTCATCAGCTAACATTAAATTATTGAAAATTTAATATGAAGCTGTTTTCTATATCTTGAACAATTTAAAACCCTTGCTATCTTTTACAGTTATATAGTTTTTTTATTTTAAATTAAGCACTTTTTATGGAATACCATATCTAACTTATATTTTTTTTTTAGATTTTGAGACAATAAATAATTTTTGTTGTCAAGTTAATCATTGCTAAAATAGAAAACCAAATAGTAAATTAAGTCTTCAATGCCTACCGAAATAACCTTGGAGGCGGGGTGATGATGTCGAATATCTGGTTGTGACGGTGAAATTGGAAGGAGAAGGTCATCCTGCAATTCGCTCAACAACGACAGGTCTGGAAATAATAATAAAATTCAGGTTAGTGCTTTGTTTACGCTTTTACTAAATTTAAAATGAAATTGAAGAAAATAAGAAAATTACACAATAATTTTACTTATTTAATCCCCAACAAGACAATCTTGTGATATAATTTTAGCATGATGGGAAAATTGCAAGTACCTGTACTATCATCGTAGAGCGGGAGAGGGTCCAGGAAGTCTGCAGTGGAGCTGAGCAGTGGACTCGTGTCAACGTCCCAAAGTCCCATCTGTAGTGCTGTTTCGGAGTCAAAGGACTCGAAAGTGCTTTCGAGGGTCATCCGTTTTGTCGAAGTTGACTCCACCTGGGCCGCCCGTCGCTTGATGCCTCCTGAGCCTCTAGGTCTTCCCCGACGTCCTGGAACCTTCGGTCTCTTCGGACATGTGCCCTTGGCTGTTTGAAACACATCAGCCTGCAGAGACAACGTCTGCGGTGGTGGTGGCGGTGGCAGCGCCACTGGTGATGGTGGCAACTCCTTTGCAGGGGACCGAGGGGAGGCCACACTGTGCTGTGGACTTCGTCCAGGAACCGAATCTCGACGCTTACTTGCCAGCGCAGACTTGATCGAAACCTAACAAGAGAATTAATATTTATAAAGAATGGTGCTACTTTAATTATTTAATAAAAAAATAAAAAGATGATTTAAAAAATACATTTTTTTCTCCTTTAGTAAACTAGAGTAGCAATTTTTCTTTAAAAAAAAAAAAAAAAAAAAAAAAAAAAAAAAAAAAACTGCAACTTACGCTTGGTGGCGGGAGTTGCTTTGAGGCAACAACGCATTTGACATATTCAGGATCAGGTACGTCATCTAATGACAACTTAATCAAAGGTGATACATTGCTCAGATGATTTTCAACAAGCATATCAATCTTATCATCATCTAGGGTTGTATCATTCTCCTGTGAAGAAAGTGGATCTTTAATTTATGGCAGTTTGGACTGGACGGCAACAACAATTTTGCTTCAAGAGAAGTTTAATTTCTAAAAACTAAGAATTATTCTAAAAAATGGTTGCAATAAAAAAAAGATACAAATTATCATTGAGTATATAGAATTAAAAAAAAAGGATGCAAGTAAGGAAGTAAGTGGTCTTATTAAAATGTAAGACTGACCAAGATGAACTTACCTTTTTTATATTTTCCTCATCCTCAGAAGCTGGCATGATGGCCCCTTGATTCTTGACTTTGGCAGAGAAGCGTTGCTTCATCTCTTTCAAACCTCGCCAACCCTCTTCCTCGGAGAGTAGCGTGTTGATGCAGATGAAGGACACCGGTTTGTTGGACTCTTTGTCATACTCAAGGTATCCATGCGTTCGCAAGAAGATGAAATTGCCCGTTTTTGCCTGCAGTCGATACGTTGAATAACCAAATCCACCACCCTTGCTGTACACTGGAAGTAGGTTTCACAAAATGGTAAGTAAAAAGTTATTATTTTTTACTCGGGAGATACATTGAAAACAATTATTATTAGGATTTTTAATTGAAACATACTTTGCTTTAGTGAAACAATGCACCAATTAACATCATCATGGTGCATGTAGCGGAAGGCAGACACACCAAAAACTTCCTCAACCATGTAGCCCGCAGTAACAGATATCCTGTAATTAAATAAATGCATTAAATCAAATTGTAATGGAAAATATAAAAAAAAGATCTTAAATAAAGCACAATGTAAATTTATGTTCATCACTATTGTGCATTTGAATCTTTTTAATTTTATAATACAAACCTTTGGTCACAATAGATGATTTCACCCTCAAGAGAATGCCTTGTGAAATACTCCTCCTTATTGGCATCCATGCGCACCAAATCGCTCGAGTGCAGGTTGGCTGATTTTACAATAGCCATTAGTACCAAGTCCGACTGGCCCGACTGCTGCTGACCGCCGTCTGATTGAATCAAATAAAAAATAAATTCAGTCCAGCAAACAATTAATCTTTGAAACACCTGCAACTGAAAGACAGTCTGTGAGATAAATTTGTGTGATTTTGGATCTAATAGGAGTTTAATGCAGCTTCAACAAATTTGGAGTTATTGCAAAATTATTAAAGCGCAGTGCAAGCGAAAAACGGAGAGAACAAATGAGCGCACGTGCCGAATTGAAATGATCGGAATGTAAATCGAGGGGCCACCTGCAGCCGACCTAATGGCCAAAGTGACCTCACCCGTCAAACGGCGTGATTGAGAACTAATAATGCTATGCAAACAGCACCACCTTGTGCATCCTCAAAATATAATTATATGACCCTTCTGTATTTCTCACGGATCAAAATTTTCTTAGAGCCTATTCTTCAGGAGATAAAAAGAATTTTTTTTTCATTTCACTTATCAACCTGAAAAAGAATGTTTTACTACCTTTGCATGCTCGAGACGCACCAACAGTCTTTCGGCAGATCTGGGTTGAGTGGGTATCGGTGTTTGTACTGCCGGATACGGAATTCAACACCACCAAGTTGCCAATGATTTGAAATATCTCGTACTGGGCGCTGTCGCTTCGGCCTGAAGACTTCTGACTCAATTTTACAAAAAAGTTTTTACGCTGGCGCATTGGCTCAGGTCCTGATGGCAAAAGCAAATATGATATATTAATTTTATGTTGTTTCCGGATAACCATTATAATTATTAATTTAAAAAAAAATGAATATCAAAACTTACTTGTGCTTGGTCCTGGCTCATCGTCATCATCCATCTGCAGGTTCTTACGTAGCGTATCCTGATCATTCGGACAGGTGATGTTGAATATCGACTGTCCCATCAAATCGTTCTAAAAAATAAAAATCTCCAATTATTTAGTTAACCCAAGAAAAAATAATTGAATAACATCGTCTGAAAAACCGCCCTTGACCTGATCAAGCACCGCACGTGGCCTGGTGTATTTTGAGGGCGGATTGAAAAAGCGTTGCTGTGGCAACGCCGCCAGTGAACCCCGCTCGTGTGACAAAAACAACGCGCAAAAGATCAGGACAACAAAGAGGGCTAGAGGATATCAGACATGACGGGAAATTTCGTAACATTGAAGCAAATTGAGGAACAAGGCAAATTTTATTTTTGTATAGTTAGTGAAGCAGGCAAAATTTCAAGAATTGACAATTTGACATGGATTTTTTTATATGAAGGATAAAATAAAACCATAAGTACGAGATCAATTTGCAGAGAAGCCAAAAAAGGGGAGACAAAACATTTCGCGGTTTTAAAAATACACTTAATAATGATTTTCATCTCACCTGCGAATGGCCCAGGAGCTTCACAACCGATGAGGAGACAAATACAATTTTTCCAGTCGAGGACACAAGCAGCAGGAAGCAGTTCATGTCCTTGAAATTAGAAGTCAGAGTGAAAACACCAAAATTGAGATGAAATATTTTTACCTCAAGCATGTGTTCAGTCAGGTTTTCAGGGATGGGCAAATCGCCCGTGTAGAAAATACGTGATGAGGACGCAGCGTCCAAACTTCTACTGTTGTTGTTAACATTGCTGATGCTGTTGTTGTTTTCGAAGACGCTTGAAGCCTGTGGCTTGTTTGTGTCCAAGGCATCGCAGTCTAAAACAGTTAGCAGCATAAGAGTCAGTCTCAATTTTGAAAAATTTCTATTTCACTTCAAAATTTCAATAATTCGCCGCACATAAATTATGGCAATCCAAACGCCCAACTGCAGAAGAATTATTAAAAACTTGCAATAGAGCTAATTTAATTATTATCAAAATTTTTTAAAAGAGATAACTATTTTCCTTTCAAATAATTTAGTAATTTTTTGGATCAATCTCACCGAAATCAAAATTTGACCGATTTTTACCTTGGATTACCCACATTATTAATTTAATAATATGGATTAAGAATGCAATTATCAAATAAATAAGAGAAATTAATATCTTATGCATTGAATTTTAACAAATTTTTACTCTACATGTTTAGGATTTGTAATAAAAAAATTAGTGTTTACATTTTTGATATCGCATCCATGCAGCGGAGAGTCTAAGCACAGAAGTCTTATCCATCTTCTTGTCGCTACCGCTGATGAAGGGATTGATCTGCGCCAATTCAGCTATGTATGTGTTCAGCTTATCTCGGCGCTGCTTCTCAGCCCGATTTCGCATCTCACGGCTTGTGCTGCAATCACACATTTGAAGCATTTATTAGTTTCCTTAATATAAAAACAACTTATATTTATTAGAAAAATTACAAAATTGAAATAGTAAGAAGATTAAATTTAGCACTCGTAATTCCATTAACTTGTTTTTTAATGTATCATTTTAAATTTATTTACTATTACATAATCTATTTTTGTGGCGTTCAAAAATACCACAGTCCTCGCGAATATTTCATTTCATTTGGGCGGGGTGGGGTATTAAAGTAGGGGTGGGGTGGCAGCGGGGGTGGCATGACCTGCCCCACTTGGAGGCGTCGAGCGGCAGCACCAGCAGCAATCGATCCACCAGCTGCCTGGAAGTTATGCAACTGGCGCTGCTGGTGCAACACAACCATTTCAATAATTGACCCTCATTCCAGCCAATTTAAAATTTGTTTGTGCATATCCGAAGTTTCCGCTTCTCATGTCAGAACAATCACTAACAAACGTATAATCAAATAACGAACGAATAAAAACCTCAATTACTGATGTTATCAAGTGCAAAGAAATACCTTTTCAATTATTAATTTTAAAGTTAAAATGTCTACATTTATGGCTTTCAGATGAGCTTATTTAAATGATTTGCAAAATATTTTTTTTTTAATCAACAACAGATTTTAAAAACCAAAGTTGTCAGTGTAGAATTTCTTTTGTTAACAAACTCCTTGTGTGGGTGGAAATTGCAAAAACTTGACTTAATTCTGTGTTATTATAAACAACTTCAACATAAGTCCAGACTGTTGCTACGACAGCTTCCTGCCAACTGGTGCAAGACTTGCGAGTTAAACGGCCACGTTTCAGGCGACCGTCGAAGAATACTTCAAAAGCCTCAGCTAAAATTTAGCATTATCAAATCGATTATCGATACACTCGAAAGTGGTTTTAGGTTTTGTTGAGAGGGAATTATAAGGTGAGTTGAGAAAATGAATCGTGGATTCGAGGCCGCCGCGGTAAGCAACGTTTTTTCGCGTTGAGGAAGGGCTGATGGAAGTGGGGAATCGAGCGGAGAGAGGGGAGCGACACAGGCCAACGAACCCATGCGGAGGACCAGAATTAGAGACGCAATTCGCTCGCTCTTGGGGCCCCGCGCGTTTATCCTAATATGCTGCCGCTCACGTGCTGGTGCTGTTCAGTGCTACTCACAAATTCGAAAAAGTCATCACGTCAAAATTTAATTAATAAAAGGACGCGTGTTAATTGTCAAGCTTCATGCGAGATCCCTTTCCATTGAATGAAATTACGTAACGTATGTTAGAATAAAATTGACTCTATTTCTTTAAAAAGTTTAATTTTAATTCTGCTGCAATCGAAAGAAAAGTTACTGAAATTTAATTTTCCTACATTCAACCAGTGAAAACGCAACAGTACAAGTTCTCCACCATACACATGTTATCTTATCTTTGTAAGGTTTCTAATTTTCCTCGGCGGCGTTTTCTTCAAAACAAACCTATCGCGTTGCGGAAGCAGCAACCCCGTTTAATTTCATATTAAATGTCCCTCGCAAGGTGGAAGTTTCTCGATTTATAATTTTATTATGCGGGTAGACGCAACATGCAAAGTGGTCGGAGAAGTTTAATAGAAAAATGGCCACCCATTGTTTCTAGATCCTCTCGAGGGCCTCTCGACGAAACGATCGTGAGAGTGAGTAATTGCGCTCGACAATTGCAAACGTGTGGCGCAGGTCGCGACTCGCAACAGCATCATACTGCCAACCTTATCATAGGTTGTTTCCGTTCCGCTCCACTTCAACTAGGCTCCCAACACCCAAACGTTTTGCCTTGGGAACAAGACTAGAAAAGATAAAACAAGCTCCTTTAATGCAGAACAAAAGAAAACGGCGCAATAAATTAAAGTTAATTGCATATTTCATCCTCATACAACAAATCTTATTTTTCTCCTTCCAATAATTTTTTTTCATTAGACTTTCCTTTGTTTGCTTCTGATTTTATTTTCAAAACAAACCTCTTGACATACGAAATTATTTTAAATATTTACTTGGCTCTGATTTGACATACATGATTAGCAATTCAATTGACCAACGCCATCACTTCCCCAAATTTGAATTGCGAAAATGTAAACGGCACCAGCGGCGAAATTCAATTTGCATGCGGTACGCAGCTGCCTTGATGGAAAATCCCAAACGGCGATTAAGGAACTTTTATCGCAACGCCACAAAAAATGATGAGCTTAAGCAGTATTATAAAAAAATAATACTAAAACCAAATCTTTCAAAACATCACTTCCGTATTAAATATTTTTCAAAATGTTGTAAGAGAAAAATTAACCGGAAGTGGTACAAGTGTTTGTGTGTATCATAATGAACAACTTTGTTAAGGTTTTGACTGGAATTACTGGAAACAATACATTTTCTAATAGTGAGTTTCCATTTTTAACTGTTGAGTAAGAAAAAAAAGCTCCGGAAGTTCATAGAATCATTTGAGACACCACGTTGATAAAAGGAGACAAAAAGTTGATTTGTCTCCTCCGACAATTTCCCCCGTTTACTTTTGGGTTCCATTTGGCTGCTATCGCGTGTATTTGCATTTTGTAAAGGGGGTTTTTAGTGTGTGTTTCGGCGTCGGTGGCGGCGGCATTTGGCGCGCAGCTGCTCATAGACGGCAGTGGGAACGAGGAGGAGATAAGAAGAGGCTGCGGAGGAAGTGGTGGACGCAAGCAAACAAAAAATGCGCCAAGGCCGACGACTGCGCAACCAAATCTGATTATCTGTTGGGCCAACGCGACGCAAACCTCAGAAGCACTCAAAATCTGCGAACTGCTTTAACATCTTCAACATCAACCCTTACCATTAGATCTCAAATTAAGATTGGCGGAGAAGAGATTCTGCTTGTTGGAAGTTTTCATTTGTTATTTCTATTTAATTTTGTACATATTATAATCACTAATACTATTATTATTTGAACTCCGAACTTGGAAATGATTTTAAAAATTGGATAGGAGAGAATTGAAAAATACTATTTATCTTCATTTGCAATTAATAAGTTTTTTGCTGCTTAAATTTCTTGAGAATTTTTCAGTCTCTAACAATTTGAATTTATGATTTCTTTTATAAATTTTCTTATATCTATTAAAAGAAAACATTAATTTGAATTTAAAATTCAACTGATTTTAATGAAGTTTTGTAAGCAATAAATGAGCAAATTTCCATAAAAATGGTGAAAATCAAGTTATGAAAGTATTTGCGGACCGTTTCGGCGCGGACCTCTCTTGAGCTTCGCGTTAAAGCGACTTTTTCGAAATATTTGCTGCCGTTTCTTTGCACTTTTTTTCTTCTTTATTTCATGTATGACTGATTTGTGAAGAATAAACAATGATAACAAAAAAGTATGACGTTTGTAAACGGCTTCAATGCGAAGCCAAAATGACGTTCAGTTACAAATAGGAATTAAATTAATGATGAAGAGGTTGTGCTAGACTTCCTTTTCATTCTCACTCATAAGGCTTCTGCAATAATGAATTTTTCCAAATCAATCGAGAGCTGAATTCAGCTTCAATATGCTAATCAAAGTCGCAAAAATGGCCCGAGCTGCAGAAAAATATGGGTCGCGAGGAAGCCTTTGACACGGGGAGGGGGCTGAAGTGCAGTGCAGACTGCAACGCGACGATCGATCCGCAGACCGTTGCAGGTCAGACAAAAGGCCTCACTGATGCACTCGGACAAGACGGCAAACAAAGCTAGACGATTTTTTAACGGCTTTCAGGATTTAAAAAAAAAAAAATAAGAAAAAAACTGATTGCTGCTTTGAGTTAAAAGATCTCTTACAATGGCGCAGATTATTAAATATTGTAGTTTTACTCTGGTCATACGTCATACAAGAAAAAACCTCTTATAAAGATTCAATCAAATCCCGGTTCAAGTTTTCTCACTGTTAATAATAATTTAGTTTGTAAAAATAATTTATTCTTTTTAAGGTACTCAATTATAAAAAAGGTTTTTAAATCATATTACAGCAGTTTGCAAATTTAAGTATTTTTGATATAATTGGGCAGAGAATTCCCGCAGATGTATCAATAAAATATCACTAGAAGCAATTATAATTATTTTAAACGGACGAGAGCCACAAATCATTATCAAGATATGGATATATGAAAATATTAACATTATCAGGGGCCAAATTTTGAATAAATACAAAATTTTAATGGTGTTATTACAAGAAAAGTCGTTAAAGCGACCTTGAGCCAGCTTCACAGTAATCGACACTGGTTGGTTGGTTTCCCTCTTATTGTTTTCAATGTTGAGAAATGCACACGTGTGTCTTTACCGGAACGTCTTTATAGTTATTATTAAATTCAAAACACACAAACGGACAAGCGACAGAAAATTGAATAAATGCAACGGGCGCAGTGACAAGAATAAACTGTCTACTTAATATTGTGTCAGGTTTACATGATCTGAAAGAATATTCTGGCAAAAAGAATTGCTTAACTACTTCCTATTATTCTGCTATGCAAATATTTGAGTTCCCTTTGAAACAAAATGAAAACTGAGCCTGGGAGAGTTAGATTTTAATATGAATTTATTAACTTACTTGACAAAAATCAAATGAATCTACGTCAGGTTAAAATTATAATACGCTATTTTAGTTTACAAGTTTTCGCTTCACATAACAAATCAACATATTATTTTCCCCCTATTAATTTGTACTTGTTTGCCAAAAAATATGGATACATGGAAGTGCCACGGTGCGGTCAGCTCAATTTGTGGGCTAAACGGAACGACATTCTAGCTATTCAAGCTTCAAAAGTGCAAACCGGTTCTCCAATCTTTCTTGACGTGACAACAAAACTGCTCATATGAAATTTTGGCCGATTACATTTACGCGATGCAGATTTTTGAATGAAATTAATTTGCAACGCAATCATTTTCATTGATTGAAAAAGTAGTTTCAAAATATTTTAAAAATTTTATAATATTAAATCACAAATAATATGGACAATATTAAATTAATTTTTACAAATAAAC